AAAATTACAGAACATTTTTGAGTAATCTACATCTTTTTGTTTATGTGATCAAGTCAAGAATGAGTTTGTTTTTTAATTGATGACTCGTTAAATAACTTCCCGTTGTCAGGGTTACGGCGACAACATTAACCGGAGGTAAGAAACAGAACCGACCCTCTGTGGAAAACCAAGCCTGGCTTGTTTAACTCTGGATAAAAACAGATAATGAGATTGTGGAGTGGAGTGTTTTAACGGCCAGTATTCTCCAGAGAGGACGGCTTTGGGGCGTTTGTGAGGAACTGTCTTCACACTAAGAGCCATCATTAGCATGTTTTCAAAAACAACTGCTGGTGGCATTAAAACGTAGAAGTCAAGCGAGCAGACGGAGCGGGGATAAGGCCATCTCAGCTGCTCTCCTCCTGCTTTAAGTGCTAATTGAGCTGCCCACCGTCCTGACCCTGACCCCCCGGCTCATTCATGGGGTCTCGTTCTCACGGCCGAGACGCACTGCTGGAGGCAGCCTCTGGGTCACGCACCCACCCTCCGCTGGACAATGAGGGTCATCACCCCGCTGCCCACCGTCCTGACACCCACCCCCACATTTGACAATGGCCCCCGGTGGCCCCAGAGCCCCCCACCATGAGCAGACGCGCGTGACAGGAGCAGAATCGTGGCTGCTTATGAATGCAACGCCGGGTATGGACAGCAGGAAGCATGGATTGGACTTCTTGACTTCTGGGTCGAGGTCAGGACCGGTTCAGAGGAGCACAAATATGTTCTGGGTTAAAAACTCACATTCATTCTCAAAATGCATCATTTCTGTGTCAACTACTACGAGTTTGCATGTTTTGTTTGTTCATGAATGTACAAAAGATTAAATATCAAATCTCATACATGAACTAAAATATAAAATGTTTGTGTTTGTGCCGGGGCTAAAACAACAAAACAACAAGATGCAGTAATAATACTTATTTATCAAATGTACTGGATTATTTGTACTAATTTGCTTAAATCCTAATAAATAATAATTCATCCACACTCATGATTTTTTGCAAAAGAGGTTTATAATCTCAGTGGGACTTTTATCTCCTGGTTAAATAAAAAATAAATGTTACAACAATCTATTTTCATTTAAGAAATATTGATTCCTTTGAAAATAAAAGATGAACATTTAGCAGAACTTTATTTCCCAAACAGCACATCTAAGAAAAATGTTAGTTTATCCGACTAACGGGAGCAACATCCCAACAAAAGCTCTAAACTCATAAACTACTGTCTCAATCTCACGTCACAGCTCTTCTGTCGTGTCCTGAGGCAGGTAGCATCAGGATTAGCACCTTCATCAGAAACCTGCTGAGTCCTCTACATGTCTGCTGCCCCCTGGTGGACGATCTACAGGTGACAAGGGCCAGTTTCATGTCCTCATAACTGTTAAATTGTTATAAAATTACAGAGGTGTGGACTCGAGTCACATGACTTGGACTCGAGTCAGACTGGAGTCATTATTTTAATAACTTCTGACTTGACTTGATAAAATCTATAAAGACTTACGACTTGACTCGGACTTGAACGCCAATGACTTGCGACTTGAATCGACTTGCATTTGTTGACTTGATGATGGCTTGAGCATATTTGATATTTTAGCACAAAATGGCACGACATGGACAAAAAACATGAATCATTCTTTGTTCTGGGTTTGATCTTGTGCTGCTACATGCTGCAGTACTTTATTAATAATCCGTTTAAGTTGCACTTTCTGCTGATTGAGAAAATAAATGAAGCTTTAACTCTGGAATTTATTTATTATCATCATCATTAAATTAAAGTTGGACAGATGACTTGATTATGCCGTGAAAATTCAAAGTTAAGGACTTGGACTTGAATTGGACTTGGTTGTCTTTGACTTGGATTTGGCTCGAGACTTGTGACTTACATATTACATATTACACAAATTACATATTAAAATCTACAAACATGACATAGCAGCTATATTAACATTATACATTTTAAAGCTATATTTCAGGTTTTTATTGGTTAAAAGATTTGATTTCTTTTTGAATCTTCACCAAGTTTACAGCATTTCCTTCAGAAAATACTGAAGATGCTTGAATTACGATTATAATCCCTCCTTTTATCTTCACAAATAACACAAGTCTGGAGGAGTTCTGCTGTGTGGTGGAGTTGCTAATGCTAATGTTAGCATACAGGTGAGACAATCTCTAATCCTATTTAAGCTTCTACATGTAAAACACATTAAGCCAGAATGAAATATATCAAGTTTCTTTCTGAAGCCAAATGTGTTCTTTGGATTTTCTTCTTTTTGCCACAACCAGTGAGCCGTTTAAATCAAAACAAAAGCTTTTTCGTACATCCCACCGCCCCACGGAAACACTCACTGAAGTCTCACGGACATTTGCAAAGATCACATTAAATAAAACTGAATCATTTCCAACAAAAGCCCGACCCTGGAGTTAGACTGAGAGCATGTGGACGTCCAGCCTTCCCTCTGCGCTGCTGAGCGACCGTAAATGATGATAAAACGCCATCATTACAACGGCCATGTAAAGCTTAATGTTTCAGAAAACCTCCATAAACCCCAGTAAGTGGGGGGTGGGGTTATGTACCTTATGGGATGGATTGATATTGTAGTTGAATATGACAAACGACACTTTAAAAATGGCCCGCCCACGCCATTGCACTTTAGCCGAGAGGACGGCACATTTCATGTTGAGCACGTTCTGTCAAATGTTTGCATTAATAGCAGTCGAGGCTCATCCGTGACCCTGCCGCGCCTGGCGGGAAGCAAGAACGCCAACAACAGCACTTAAAAACAGAGAGAAGCTGTTGCCTAATCATAGCTCAGTGTGTGTGTGTGTGTGTGTGTGTGTGTGTGTGTGTGTGTGTGTGTGTGTGTGTGTGTGTGTGTGTGTGTGTGTGTGTGTGTGTGTGTGTGTGTGTGTGTGTGTGTGTGTAATTGAGGGTGAGAAAGAGAAAACTCAGAGTGTTTCAGAAGGTGAGGATGCAATTGTCAGCTGGGGATAAGAAGAAATAAGAGGAGAATTAGACACTGAGCTACTCTTGTAAGTTCTTTTGACAGGTCCAATTTCCCAGAGCAGGTAAATTGGAATTGTGTGAATTAAACCCTGGGAATATCAGGAAAGTTGTCTCTCTCTGACTGACAGCACGGTTAATGGCAAACATTTCTTCTTTCTATATTCCCCACTTCATTAACACCCTCGCCTCATTACCGCGAGTCTCACTGCAGCTCGATACACACACACACACACACACACACACACACACACACACACACACACACACACGCGCGCACACACACACACACACACACACACACACCTTTACGTCTTTACAAGTCGATTAAAGTCACTCCACATGATTCAGAACAGCCACATAAAGATTTGACTTTGCAAACACATTGTTTTCTGTCTGCCATCATAGTTCCTCAAGAGTGAAGTTGTGTGAAATTGTTTTTCAGGTAGAATCCAACAAAACCTCAGAAACTTTCCACTGAAAAAGGTGCGATTTCACCATTCTGGTGATTTACGGTGGTTTCTGCACATTTTCGTGTTATCAGTGTGAGGCGCCGCCGAACGGGAGCTACAGTAGAACGTAGAGCAACGAGGCTCTACAGTGATTCGGCTTCTTAAATGAGATGCATGGCCTAACGAACTAAGTTTGAAGAGGAAATTGTAAAAAGTGTGAAGAAATTTGATTTTAGTCAACAAATTTGGTTCTGAATAGGAGCTTTGACAGGAAATGTTAAGCTGAAACAAACTCAGAAGCTGAATCGTTCAGCAGGCTGGTTGGTTAACTATTTTCTTACCTTTGGATTAAACCAAATCCCCGAGATACGTTGGTGGGTTTCCTAAATGTTTTAGATTGTCGGCGGGGGAATTTAATTCTCTTTTTTATAATGAACCACTTTTCTCATAATGGCTGCTGCAGACACACGGAACCCATCATGAACATTTCTCAAACTAGCTTCTGTGAGTCAGAAAGTGTTGCTCAAAACTCAGAGGGTTGGAACCCAGTTCTCACAGATTGGAGCCAAATCACATGATAATAATTCCCAAACCCAAAGGAAGGAGAATAAACTGCTAACAAATTCAATTCTGTCACAAGATGAGAAAATGTGCACAAATATTCTAATTTATTTGGACTTTTTACACATAAATATGTCCAAACTACCAAGTCAGTGTGACTCCAGCTGGAAATTTGCACATTTTCTTTTGCTAGTTTCTCCCATACAGCAGAAACAGGCTAAACCACTGATGCCTCATTTTTCCCTGTCTTAAACCCACATTCATCGCTTTAGAAGCAGAAGTCGACAGGTTTTGGAGTCTTATTTCCTGATATTCGGACTTCTCTACCCTGATTGGCTAACAGATAACAGAAGCCTATATTCTGTTGTGTGGTGGAGCTGCTAATGGGAACAGTTAGCTTCTACTAGCTGAGGCGTTCTCTGCTGTTTCCTGGATGCTAAACCAACAACAGCCTTCCCCGTCGTGAGTCAAGATGGGTGAATCCATGAATGCTAATTTGATAATGTGACATGCATAATCTGACTTTTCTAATTCGAGCATTTCATCATCTATTTTCTATCAGCTGCTAATAGGAATCAGGGGTAGAAAAGTATTTTCAACAAGTAAAAATGGTCTTTAATGCAATAAGAACATGTTGTCCCTTCAAATCTGGGAAATCAGTCACCAAGATGGAGGAAAAAAATGGCAGATTTGAGCCTTTAAAAACCTTGCTTGCCTTAAAAAGCCCAAACACTTCACCAAAAAAATGCCAAATAAAGAGATTAACCAGACAGCAGCTGCAGGAGAGGATCCAGAAACATGTGGAGGATTAGAAACACCCCCACCAACGCAGCGAGGTGTCATTTGTTCTGAAAGAGGCTCACCAGCGGCCTCAGGTGCAGCAGAAAGCTGACGATAATGGGCTGTCTTTCTTTCTGTCAACATAAAGCCAACTATACCCAGCCGAGGAGAACCTACCCGCCACGTTGGCCACATCTGCAGTGCTGACGTTTTGGGAGTTGTGGCTGACTTTGAAGGTCACGGCCGGTCCCACCACCCTGAGAAAAAAACAAACATAAAAGCTTTTAAAAAAGGGTGCACTCCCTCCCAGCGGCTCTGCATTGTTTTAAAGAGAAAGGAGCTTTGCTCATTAAGGCTCAGCCGTACATGACCACTGAGAAGAAGAGGGGGGGGGGAAAGGCATTAACCTGTGGCGATCCTTTAGGCTGTTGCAATCCCATCACAACTCAGAGATAACCTCCTGAATCTCAATGTAACTTGCCCGCCGGCATTTAAGCACGCAGGGAAGTAAAGATAAGGAGGTCAGGATGAGGAGATGTTGGCAACAGAGAAGAGGACGGGCTTATATACAACGCTCGGGAAGCTCTCATTTACATCCTGATGCAGCCTAATGTGACTGCGATACAGTTTGTTGTGATAAATTCAGAGTCAGCAGCAGATGAAAAGCGATAGAAAGCTACGCTCCCTGATGTTCTCCCAGCATTTACGCCGATAATGCAGCTTGAAGTGAAGGACCGAGGGGAGAAGCTGGGTGGTCAGCGTGGAGGCGAGGGTCTCCCAACGCGATTAACCTTTTGTTTTTCTGCTCTGGCTCAGATTAAAGACGCAGCAGGGCGATACATTACAGCGCCCCCCTCCAGGACGCGACTTCTGCTATAACAGCGGTGTTATAAAACACGGTGACATCATTAATGGAGTCACATCCTAACGCTGCTGACAGGAAGAAAAGCTCAGTGATGGATTTAAATGGTTTTGGTTGGGAGGGTTGGGTGCGTTTGCAGGCTGTGGGGTCAGCCTCCTCTGAACAATACAGAAAAAGCTTCAGATTAATGAAATAAAAGCTGTTTTTGTTTGTTTTTCAGGACCCTGTAAAGAGCTGCTGCTGTTTTCTCAACCTTCTGTTCAAAAATATGTTTGTTCCAGATTGAAAATCAAAAGATATCCTGTAATATTCTGATTTTATAATCCTTTAATCAACTATTTCAGCAAAAACTCAACAACAAATGAGAAAATGCTGTTTTTGTTTGGTAACCTGCACAGGTTTACTTATCCAACCCTGAAGTCGGGCAACATTCGCAGCTGCAGACTTTTTATTCATTGCCAGTTTGGGTTTTTTAATTGGGTTTCTGGGGCCCCGAGGCCAGCGTATCAGAAAAAAACATGACCAGCAGTGAGTATTCACCAGGTTTTCATGCAGCAGTAATGCTACACTATTCTAACATTTAAGGTACAATAACAAACCAATTAGACCGAGTCAAATTAATGACCTGCAGGGAAGGAACCTAATGAAGCTAAGTGCTTCAAGAAAAGTAGAAAATACTCCGTCTGCTGCGGTTATTAATTCCAATGTTTAGCTCATTTTTTCAATATAAAACCTGCCTTTTTCCACAGAGAATTTCTTCTGGAGTTTTAGTTATTTATGCACCGAGCAGCCGAAGACACAAAAGCAACGGAAGGAGCTCGTATTCTGAAACGTCGCCCTCCTCAGATGATCAGGCTGACATGTTTACCACATCCACGAAGGGATTCATCAGCCCGCTCAGGCAAAAGTCTCCGAGTGTGATGAAGAGGGAGAACCGCTCGTGTTGCGTTCATCGCACGGCCATCTGTCGGCGTCGGACACGCAAAAGGTTTCACATCGACTTTACACTGTGTAAATAACACAGGAGGTCATTTCCACGTCTTCTTTGTCTCCAGATGATCATTTAGGAGGAAATTATAGGTTCATAAAGAGCAACTATTTACTCATTTGATCCACATTTTATATGATTATAGATGCAGATATCTGGTACTTAAACTAAAGCACAAAACCTCATGGACACTGAAGCATGTAACAGAAAAATACGTTTTACATCGATATGAAAATTTTACTTTTGTCAATTACTTCCTTGTTTTAAAACTCCTGCGTTGTCATCTTTGTAATGAGGACCTGTGAGGACCGTGCAGCAACACATCTAAACGTGTGGCTAGCACTTCCATACATGCTCCCAAATTCCCGGGAATACTCTCCCACAGGTTTTTCTTTTCCTGCCAGGTGTGTTCCAGTCACAGGAACCTGGTGGGCTGCTCTTGGAGAGCTAGGGTTAGGGTCTACCATCCCACTGGTTGACCTTTGGCAACTCCTGGTTGAGGAATGGGATGCCATTCCACAGGAACATGTGACCAGAAGGAGGAGGATCCTTCATGAGCCAACAAGAGCGTAAACGTTTTACTTTTTCTTGTGGGAAAGTTGAATCTTTCAATCTACCAAGAAACCAGGATCAGGAGGGAATGTCATGATGCTACCCCGTGTTTTCCTAGGTTCCTCCCTGTTTAACATCACTTTTGAAACGGTATCCAAAATCTGTTCATTCAGCCATAGTCCCTCAGTCCAGGTGTAAGATGAACGTGATTTTGCAGTCTTGGTCCCAGGCTTTGGAACAATCTCCACTCTACATCAAGTCTTCTTCTCATCAGATTGTTAAAGCCAGACGGAAGTCTCCGGTGTTTTTATTAACTGTTTTTAGTTTCCTACTGTGGTTATATACCATTTGTGCATTCTGTGCTCTATCCGTTTTGCTTGTAAAGCACGTTGAGCTCCATTGGCTGGAGGCAGGAAGGTGTTACACAAATAAAAACTGAGATGATTCACAATCCTATTACGTCCCCGACAGGTGTTGTAAGAATGTGAAGGATGGGGGTAACCTAAGAACTGGTGGAGGAGTTTAAAATGGGTTTATTTGTAACAAAAAGGTATTAAAACACAAGCAAACAGATCTCTCTAAAAGGTTAACATTACACAGCCAAATTATCAACTATAAAACACCTGGTTAAAACTTATATTAAAAGCTTAACCAAGCAGAAGAGGTGTTTTAAAATCCCAAAGTTGATGAAAAGTCCCAAACAATTTACTGATTAAAACACCTGGTAAAAGCTTCTTCTAAAAGCTTTACCACACAAAGGTGTTTAAAAACTAAGTAAAATTGCACCAAATACAGTTAACCTTTAAAACGAACACAAACATCAAAAGATCACACTGGATCATCCCAAGCTCATCACTCAGGCCCTGTCCACACGTAGCCGGGGATCTGCCAAAACGTAGATATTTTTCTACGTTTTGGCCTGTCATCCACACGAAAAAGGAGTTTTTTCCACACGAAAATGGATCTTTTTTAAAACTCCAGCCAAAGTGAAGATCTGCGTTTTCTCCGTTTTGGGTGTCTGCGTGTGGACGGACAAAACCGGAGTTTTAAGGTCCGCAACGTCACTTTCCGCGACAAAAAATGCTGACATCACGTGTGCGACCTGTGTTTACACTAGCCGGCATCATGGAAGCCCTCAGAGCTGCGCTCTGTCACTACCCGATCCATCAGTTGTCCAAGCGCTTTCTGCTTGTTTGTTTTTGCAAGCGGAATTACTGCTCCTTGCGGAAGACCACAGATGAAGGACGAGGTAAAGAACATGGGAAGTACTGCCGCCTACAGGTCTGGCATGTCCTTAACAACGTATTTATCCGGGTACGTGTGGACTGAGTTTTGTTTTTAAAACGAGGTGGTGTGGATGCAAGTTTTTGGAGGGGCGGATATTCGTTTTCAAAAAACCCGGCTACGTGTGGACTAGGCCTAAGAGTTTAAAACTGCCACAGTTTAAAAACTCAAATGAATCTAAACGAATCTAAACGAATCTAAACGAAGGGGTTGAACACAAACAAAACCGGGAGGACAGCAGAACCCATGCACTGCTGACTCCCAGACTGCTGAAGGCACAGCCCTTTTATGCAGGTGTTTTCTCATCATGATGATTCCTCGCAGCTGTGCTCCTCAGCAGCCCGGGAGAGAGGAGGAGGAGGGGCGGTGTCATGCTTGGTGATTCTGGCTGCTTCTCTCCACAGGCCAGCCTGGCATCTGTAACAATCCCTACCAGTTGGACCTCAATACTAATGAAGCTTTTCCATGATAGATTTGTTATTAAGGAACACCCCCCACCTGTTGTTCATGGATACTGGATCATCCTTACTGCCAGGAGGGTTTCCTCAGCCTAAACTGCCCTCCTCTAGTTGCTATGCATTCATTTTTATTGGTGGGTGAGAATCACTGCATTTTCCTCCTAAACAGCAGGTAAATACGTCTACACAAGAGTGTGACCAGCAGGGCTCAGGAAGTGTAATCTCAGTTTTTATGAGAGCCAGATGACCAAAGCAATTAACGTTGGTCCAAATAAATGAAAACTTCTGAGGTTTGAATCAGAATTAGTCTGACTCAGACACATCTTCACTAGTCGCCAGCTGATCTAATGAATGTAGAATCCTCCAGAGCAACACTTCATCTATTTCCTTTTTCCTGTTTCTTGGTTTTTCTCCCAACATGTCGTCTTTTTCTGGCACCAAATCCTAAAAGCTGTTGGTATTTGCAGCTAAAACGTTGTTTCATTCACTTAAACATCGTTTTTGAGACTGATTCACCTTTTTTAGTGTGAGTGTTGTACTGTACTGCATCTCAAACCAGAGTTTTAAAAACCAGGCAGCTTTGGTTTCGTCCTGTCTTCAGTTTGAGGCGTGAGCAGAAAGATGAATCCTCGTACAACCAAAGTAACTCTTTGTTTCTGGAGAAAGTGGTTAACGTGACTGAATGACTGACGGAGACATGTTTCTGAGCCTGCAGCTCTGCCTCCATCAGCAGGCTCATCCACCCAGCCCAGGCCCACTCTCTCCTCCTGGTGGCAGCTCTTTGATACGACCCCCTGAGCTCAGACAGACATTACATCACCTCAGCACTCCTGTTGAAAAACACCAAAAACCCTCTAGTCTTCACTCTCGTGGTTACACAACAGCCATCGTTATTCGACAGGCAGCTACAGTCAAAGGCTCGGCGATGCCACCCACACACCTCTTCCCCCCCCCACCCGCCATGTTGTCCTCCACCACTACCAGGCCACGGCTGCAGCTAAAAACATTTCCAGGGCCATTTCGCTGAGAGTCCTCACCGTCAGTATTACCTAATCAGCATTGAATTGTTCCAGATGAAATGTAAGGGTGTGAGTCACTCTGCAGGTTTGTTTTGAGTCCTGACAGTGTGTAGGCTCGCTCTTATGATTCATTCGCTGCGAGTGTGGACGTTTTGCTGCAGGCTCGCTGCTCTCCGACTGCGGCCCCATGAGGGAACGGTTGGAAAAGGGAAGTTTAGCTGCCTTGTCGGCGGCTGGGTGCACACAGGTCGCCCGCTACTTTGTTCACAGACACTTTTGCTGCTGTAATATGCTAATCTGCTGATTCTGTGAGGGGTGGAAGGTCAAGCTGCCTGCAGGTTAGACGCCTGCTAGATGGAGGCAGGATTAGACGTTAATGCAGACTTTCACTGTGAGTGCACTCGATGCAGCCAAACTTTAAAGAATCGCTTGTTTAGTTAAAAAATGGCTTCAACTTGACATTCTCTACTTAAACGTTCATTTATGTGGGTTTTTTACTTAAAAACATGAAGAGTGTTTAGAGTGACTAAAACAGCTAAGAGTTCATACAGTTATTTGTTATTTTTAATTACCGTAAAAGCATTTTATTTTCAATTAAAATAAAATCATGAGCCTCTAAAATTCGGTTAAATAGACATTAGTGCTAAAAGTCAGGCCAAATTTATAAAAGCAAACCACATATATTAGCAGGAATGACTAATTGTGTCAGTAATTTATGATTTTATTCAGCCTGATTAGCAGTTTTAATAATTCTTACTATTAAAGTATTAAGTCACCTAATTCTGAGTCATTTCTTTTGTAATCTGGAGAATTGTAATGTTTTATTTAGTCGACATGATAAACCATAAAAAAGAAATTCACCGTTTGAGATGAAAGAAAAAGGAATATTCCAGCCGCTAAAGGATCTCCAAACGGACGAGAGCTACAGGTAGTCGGAGTGATTCAGGAGTGTCAGCCCTCCAACTCTTTTTGTCTTTTTGCTTAATTACTCGACTGAAGGTGACTGCTGTCGCCATGGTGGTGAGGAGACCGGCGGCCTTGAAGAACAAGTGTGGCGCCTCTGACAAATTGTCAAGGCGGCTCCCCCTGCTGGGCTTTTACTGCGCTCGCAACAAAGGAGACCCCCGGCTTTCCACCTCTCTTTCTGCATCAATATCTCCCCATCGTTCTTCGGCTTTCTCAGCCTCCGATCCATCACCCTCCCCTGTGTGTGGCTCACGTTTTTTTAATTCCAAGGCCAGTGGAGCAAAGACAAAAGGTGCATTAGAACAGGAGAACAAGAGCAGACCACCCAGGGGCTCAATGCAGAAGCTGAGGAGCGCCGCAAGGTGCCTGGAGAACAACAGCGCTGGACGGCGGGGGTGGAGGGGGGGGGGGGGGGGGACTACACAATGCCAAGCCATCAAATAGTTACCTGCCTGCATGCGCTTGTGTGCATGGACGTAATTTGGGGGGGGGGGGGGGGGGGGGGGTGCAAGGGGGACATGTCCCCCCCACTTTTTCCAAAGTCAAATTTTGACCCCTGCACTTTTTACCATCCAAAAACAATATAACTTTATGTTAAATTGGCACTGGTTGAGCTCTAGGACCAAAACAACCGTTTTTTGAAGCCTGTTTCCCATTAGAACCTACTGTAAAGAAACCCCCCCCCCCACCCACCCACCCACGCACCCCCCCCCCCCCCCGTGTCCCCTGCACTTCTAAAGTGAAAATTATGTCCATGCTTGTGTGTGCATGTGCGTGCATGCGCACGTGTGTGCGTGCGTGTGTGTGTGCATGGGCGTGCGTGCACATATATGTGTGCGTGTGTGTGTGTCTCTCAAATTAGAAAACCTTCAGCTGAGAAAAGTCTTTAAAGCTTCTTGTTTAGAGAAAAGTTTTTATCTGTGTTGCTGTTTTGGTTCTAATGATGTCCTTTATAAAAGAGTCATCATGCATCAGCTCTTATATACTGGAGCATCAAGGTCCCAGTAAAAGTTTCCCAGTAAGTTGTGGACCCACAAGTTCTCAGGTTTTATCTTCTGCCAGCTGATCATGATGATGAAGAAGCTGAACCAAAAGGTTAAGCTCTCAGTTGACTGGCCTACTTCTGCTTCGTACCTCACCAGAAGCTGATAAATGTGAATCAGACTAAAGGAAAAGAGCCCAGGAACACGCTACCCTGGCTTAGCCTTATTAGGAGAGCAGCTCCATCATCCAAGGGGAGCTGCTGCTCCTCCTCATCCAAAGTCATTAGCTGAGGTTCTCTCATTTGATTTGGATGAGTCTTTCCAGGAACACCCCACAGGGAGGAGACCTCAGGACTGGATTTACTGAGGAGAGAAACGTCTGGGATTTCCTCTTGGACCCATAACCTCCTGACCTTAGACAAGAGGTGGAAAACTGATGTAATTTATTTCCTTCTGTTTAACATTGTGTAAAATGCTGCTATTGCAGAACAAAGCTAGAGTGGAAGCTGTTAACAGCACAGAAGCTAACAGAGGTCATGTGGAGTCTGGCTGAAACTATTTAAAAGACCAACAGAAGATTCAGTTTAGTTAATTTGTTTTTAGACTCTGGCCCGGTGATGAAGAGTCCAACGTTTCCTGAAGCATCTCCTCACCCTGGAGCCCAGACTTGTTCCGTTTGGCCTTAAGTTGATAAAGAAGCTGCTGCTTCCTCAAGTGGAAACTTCAAAATGAGCCCTGGGCTTCAGGGCTAAAACATTACTGTAACTTCTCCTCTTTGCACAAACTCTGCTCCCTCCTGCATGTCCACTGAATTTAAATGAACGTTAGACTCAAGATGCAGCCCGTCTCTAACTGGGTGGCGACGCAGTAAAAGAAGGTGCTTTGTGTTGCTGAGTTCATGCGTTCTCAGACGTCAGCGTTTAAAATGGTAAAATGTTTTATTTAATAGTAAAAAATAAAACGTACTGCACAATATGAAGGCCTTGGGAGGAGGGTACAAGGTCTTTTTATGTTTAGATTTGTGCAAAAATGTATTTTATTAGTATAAATGTAAAGAATTCTGTCTGACTGTAATACAAGCAACTGCAAAAGCATTTGTTCTGCTGCTGCGGCTCATTGCATCCACGACGTTTTCACCTCGTTGCAAAGTCGCTGAGAGGCGCAAAGATGGAAAAGCATTCACGCTGGAGGGGAAACAGAAAAAAGGAGGATGAGAAAAGAAAGAGAAACCATGACGGTACGGCGAGAGGTGGTTTTATTAATAGATGTTTACAGAGTGGCGTCTTCACTCCGGCGTGTCAATAAAGCGAACGAGCAACACTCCTCTCTCTTTACCCCCCTAACCCTGCAGCAGGAGGAAAAGCGTTAATAAAAATAAGTCCACTTCATCGGACTCCTGCTTTCTCATCCTTGTGCCGCTCCGCTTTGATCCCACCAGTTTGCCCTCTCTGATCCGACGTGCTGGGGGGGGATCGGGGTGAGAATGTGGAGGATTTGGCGCCGCTCGTCTCTTACGGGGAACATCTGATGCGTGTTGGTATGTGATGCTCCCCTCTGAGAGAACTGCCACCCACTCAGGCCTACAGGTAGACGGCTTGTTGTCAGGAAAGTAAACTATAGACGTTCTGAGTCATCCGCAGACCTCTGCTGCCTGTGCAGAGAGCTGGCTGTAATTTTAAATGGCTGCTGAACTGAAGGAGGGTTTTCTTGATGAAATCCTCATTTTTATTTAACTGCTTGGTCGTCTGACAGCTGGGAGAATGCATGGCCACAGGCGCTGCTACATCACAGGGCAGCGAGGACATTAAAAGCTTTTAGATGAATTTGTTTTTAGAGTCTTCACGAAACGTCTTGTTCGCATCGCATCTGTAGATTTGTTGAACATGTCGTCTCATTTATGATCAGAAAGATAAGTCTGTTGGAAACTTGAATAAAAACTGAGTAAATCATAATAAATAAATGAAACGTAAGTTAAGGTTTACCTTTTTATGTCTGCTGTTCATTCAATTAAAATCCTAAAAATAACAATAGATGAGCGTGTGTGTGTGTGTGTGTGTGTGTGTGTGTGTGTGTGTGTGTGTGTGTGTGTGTGTGTGTGTGCGCGCGCGCGCGTGTGCGTTTGGAGAAAACGAGCCCTGCCAGAACATTAAAGCATTTTGCAAGATCTTAACATCTTTTTTATTTTCCTCAAGAAAATATGGTTAGAGCACACATTTTTTCCTCTCTCTAATGTCCCCTGAGGGCCTCCGTAGGAAAAGAGGTGTTGGCTGTGTGAGTCACACTGTTTTTTAACACTTCAGCTTCTACATGAGGCTCAGGAAACCGTCATCGGCACCATTGCTGATTCAAAATGTCTCTAAACGAGGAAATACAACTTTTGCAAGGTTTGTTTTAATAAAATTGGGTCTTTAACTTTTGGTCATATTTTAGTTAAACTGACTGTGGGGCCAACATGGGAGCGTTCAATGTCCACCAGACACGTAAGCGACGCGTAACATGATAGAAAAGTTTCACCCGTGAGCTCCCTCACCGGGAGAGTTGAAACGGCAGCAAAAGTGTTCCACGCAGCTGGTGCAGCGAGGTCACGAAATCACGGGAGATTTGCAACACCACGTGTGATTTCAGAATTTCAAACCATGTCGAGCAAGGGAAAGATGGCAGCATGTATCCAAAAAGTTCTGTGGTCAACTTACTGTTCACCTCAGCTATGGAGGACATTACGTACTTGTACACTGAAAATCTGACTGTGACTTTTATTTAGAAAATTTCCAGGTGTTTTACACTACTTCCTGTTTGACTTTCTGTCTGGCCCGATTTTAACTGCAGAGTTTGATGCATTCCAGAAGCAATGCGTCCCTACGCTTCCGGAGCACTCCAAAAGCGGAACGCCTGGTGGGGGGACTAATTGCTGCGTGCTACATTTTGCAGATGTTACGCGACACTTACGCGTCCAATGGAAATTCCCGGTGACATTTCTGCCAATCTTACAAAGAATATAAATGAATTTATGGATCCAACATGATTGACGTGGCAGCGTGGCGCTCCGATTCAGATGATGTCAGATCGAGGACACCGTTCACACATTTCTCAGCTGAACGTAAAGAAAAGCAGCTATACGTACAACACTTCAGCCAAATCCGTCATCTGGATGTTTGCTCGCCGAGCCAGAATCTCCATCAGGTGAAGACCTTCGTCCGTCTGGAGCCGACTGAAGAAGAGGAGGAGAGACGGCGACAAAAACCAAAAGTTAGTAAAGAACAGCTTGTTTGTTGTTTCACATTCAAGCTGTTTGATTTAATTAAAACTGTAAAAACGGTCATTTAGCCTGATGTGAAAAGCATCAATTAGCACCTCCGGTGGTGCAAAAACTGCTGTCATGTTTCCCATGTTTAGAAGGAATAATGTGAGGAATTCTAAAATACTCAGAATCCTGACAGATTTGGGTTATTGTGCAACATAAACCCGTCGTTATTCACACAGCACGTAAAAGCTTCAGCTTGTTGAGGTTTAGAACATGAATATCTATTCATTTCTGCCAAACACGAAGAAGTAGTAACATTATAATAACGTGCGGAAGGTAAAGGGAGGTGAAGGAAAAAGGTCTCATTCGGTTCAGCTGCCAGCAAAAACAAAAATCACTAAAAAAAACACATCATTCAGGAAACTAAAGCTGTGACCTCGGCTCCACAAAAGATGCTTCTCCTCTTAAACACAATGTTTACAATTTTTCTGCTAAACAGCTCTGAATGACGAGAGCCGAGACAAAAGGACTAAAGGAACCGGGGAGACCTTAAGGGCTGGAATAAAACCTCACAATCCCGAGAATCTGGAATGAAAAACGTCAGGAATAAAAGGATCCACCTGAAAAGAACCCCGGCTTTGTGTGGAAGAAGAAAAATGATGCAGCTGAATCTTGTTGCATCCCAAAGATGGACAATGTTTTATTCCATATGACTACAGATTAAATCTCCCTTTGGTGTTGTAGATTAATCATAAACCAACGTGACAACGATGGATTCCGTTTACTGCATCTGTTAAGAACTGCAACCTTACTCTGTGTCTGTGATGACGTAACCAAACACGTCGTCCTCTGGCTTCTTCCTGACGGTTTTGACGTCCAGCTGAAGCTCCGGAGCGTGAACGGTCTTCCTGTGCGGCTCCTTGTAGACGAGCGACGCCGGAGGATGCGCCACCTCCTTGATCCAGCCCTCCACCTCAGACACCTCCTCCACAGACTGGGTGGTGTCCTTCTTCTGCACCGTCACCGCCACCTCGCTGGTGCGACTCTGGACATTTTCTAGACCCACCTGCCGGCCTCTGGTGGGCGTGTCCACGCCGACGTCTGCGCGGTTCCTCGCTGATGGAAGACCGGAGAAGGAGGTTTTATCCAGGTAGGTGAGGAGTTTGGTCACGAGGTTGCTGCTCTCGGCCTGGAGCGAAGGTCAAGTGAATGTATTACCTAATCAGGGTCAGTAGTGTCATAAAATCATTAACAAGGCAGCTAAGTGTTTCAAAATACCAGATTTTATCACATTTTTATTTATTTATGTTTAATTCAAACAACTTAAAAACAAGAATCAGTGAAGATCTTTTATTATCTGCCCCTTTTACAAAATAAAATCAGCATCTTTACCTTCCTCATCCGATTTTCTAAATAAATCGCAGAAACTACCTCGGTTTCATATTTACGACTTTTAGTTCCTTGTTCAGGTGATTTCATATCTGACACTGATGCCTACCGAACTACTCAATTTAACAAATTATTTCCTGCTCTGTGTTGCTGTAAGCCATGAATGTCGATAAGAGGGACTGAAGCACATAATATTGATTGCTTTGGTCTGAAATAAATTATATTCAAATGCTCCCTGGATGATTCCTAACAAGCTGATGAGAATTTTTTTTAACCTGGCAGATTAAATGAGAATCATTCTAAAATCCAGCCATCCTCTTCCTCTTATCCGGAGTCGGGTCGTGGGGGCAGCAGCCTAAGCAGGGAGGCCCAGACTTCCCTCTCCCCAGCCACTTGGACCAACTCCTCTGGTGAATCCCAAGGTGTTCCCTGGCCAGGTGAGAGAAACATAGTCTCTCCAGTGTGTCCTGGGTTTTCCTTTAGGTCTCCTCCCGGTTGGAAGTGCCCAGAAAACCTCACCACCTCAACTGGCTCTTCTCGATGTGGAGGAGCAGCGGGTCTACTCCGAGCCCATTCTGAATGACCAAGGTTCTCACTCTTTCTCTAAGGGAGAGCCCAGCCACCCTGGGGAGAAAACTCATTTCCACCGCTTGTATCCGCGATCTTGTTCTTTCGGTCACTACCCAAAGCTCGTGACCATAGGTGAGGGTAGGAACGTAGATCAACTGGTAAATCGAGAGCTTTGCCTTCTGGCTCAGCTCTCTCTTCACTACGACAGATCGGTACAACGCCCGCATCACTGCAGATGCAGCACCAATCCGAATGTCAATCTCACACTCCAGTTTTCCCTCTCTCGTGAACAAGACCCCGAGATACTTAAACTCCTCCACTTGAGGCAGGACCTCATCCCTGACCTGGAGATGGCATTCTACGCTTTTCCAACTGAAGACCATGGTCTCTGATTTAGAGGAACTGATTCTCATCCCAGCTGCTTCCCACTTGGCTGCGAAACACTCCAACGAAAGCTGGAGATCCCGTTCTGATGAAGCCGCCAGGACCACTCTAAAATAACGAATTATCAACAGTTTTTAACACAAACTAAATCAGAACGCTACGATCAATATAACGTCAGCCCATGAGCATACTGAAAAAAAGTATTTCTTTAATTGAAATCACTTCTGACCTGAAGGGTTTTCTTTAACAATCTCAGCCGCTTCATTCCAGATTAGGAGATTAGCGACTCTTTTGTTTGAACGATTAAAACTGGTCACCCTGTTGATGTGAATGCGCCGGCGGTCACCGTGCAGGCGTGAGGAGATAATTGCTGCAAATGGAAGGAAAGCCGAGCTGCTGGGTACAAAATGCTTTTAATCTCCAGGTTCTGGCTTCAGGGTGATTGTTCCTCTTGTCAGGAGTCGAACGTCGGCATCTCAGAAACATTCGACTAAAAATCTAATCGTTCAAATTGAGCCGAGTATCGGTCAGCTGGAGCGGGGCGGCTTCAGGGCCACCTGGAGACACGGAGACGTCGAGGACACCAGCAATTTAAGAGTTAAAAACCTAATGATGCATTTTCGCCAGGATATTTCTTATCTAACCATTTTCTTTTCTTTTCTTTTTTTCTTCTTTAATGTGTTTTTTCTTCTTCTCAAAGTTTAAAATGATAGCTTATGGTTTTGGCTTTAAGTAAATTAAGACTTGAAGCACATCCAGGAGATGAAATGGTCCCTCACCCTCCACTTTAATCTGGAAAGCTCTTCTGGTTTGACGAGTCGTGATGGTGCTACATCATCACTTCCTGCCTTCCTCAGTGCGGACGTTTGCACGCTCAGCTGTCATCAGAAGCCTGCCGTGGCTCTAAAACTCACCTGAAGAGCTCGTCAACACCCTGCAGGTACCGTGCACGTTCGGGATGATTTTCTAACATCCCAGCGAGGTGTTATCCAGGATTCAGAGCTCAACATCAGCTGACTTTAGTGCTGATTTTGCACAGCAAACATTTGTTCATGAAAATAAACTGAATCATGGTTTTAAATTGTGCATAAAAAACACAAACACCTATACATAAAATACCATCATTATAATTAATGTGATTTTTTCCTTATTTGCATTCATTGATTTTAAAAATAATTAGATGTTAATTTTAAAGCTGCACATTTCTTTTGTTCTTACCGTTTCCTTCGTGTTTGCATCCTCTGTGTCTGTGTGGCGTTCTGTTGGGAAAAATAACACAAATCTGTGTTCAGGGAAGTTTGATTCAGAAAACGTCTCAAATTTACTGATAATTAAAAAAAACACGAGATTTCAGCTCCTGGACAAACCAGGTAATTTTTGTAAACTTTAATCATTTAAAACAAAGTATTATTTTATTTTTCTCAGTGGTAAAAACATCAGCTCTTCATAATCTGAACTCAAACAGATTATTGTAATTTGCTCTCTTGTGAAAACATTCGTCATTAATAAACTCATATTTTAATAATTGCATTAAAAACTAAAGGAAAGACAGATTCACCTTGAGGAGCTGCCAGGGAAGGAAGGTCCTCTGGTGCTTTCTGGGTCGGAGCAATCTCTCCAACTTCATCCTCTTCTTTTTCTTCTTCTCTGGGAATCTTCTCATTCGTGTTGGTCACCTCTTCCTCCAGGTCTCTTGGTCCAGGTCCTCGGTACCGGGTCAGCCCCCTGTTGGGTCCCTGGTCCTGGTCAACCACCAGCAGAGCATCGGCGATCAGACCGGACAGCCGGTCCAGGTCCTGGGGGGTCAGGTTGTCCATGTTCACGTGCTGCCGCCCGACGTTCTTCACAACGTTCTCGATGAACTTTTCTGAAGGAAATAAAAGACATAATATTTTAGAATAAAATAAACTTTTCTTTCATTTTAGAAGCAGCTTCTGGTCCAACAAGATGATTGGCTCCCTCCACAGGAACGTCCAAAGAGGAACTCAGAGCTTATTTTATTCCTTCACAATAAGAGTCTAAAACATGCAGATACTTCAAATTTGTCATCTTCTAAACCACTTTCTCCTTATAGAGTCACAGGGAGCTGGGGCCTCTGTAAAATTTGCTTACGCACAAAACGGGGTTGGAAAACTGCGTAAGCAACTTTCCACGCAAACTTTGGGATTATAAAAGAAAACTTAGCGGAAAAATGTGCACAACTTTAAGTTGACTAAGGACCTGGCTTACGCACATTTTGGACATGGAGAGCACCTGCAGTGCTGCTGCTGAGAAGGATAAAATTATGAAATATAGCAGCATTATCACTTGTACTGCTTTGTTTTCACACAGAACAAGACCCCTTGATCTGCATTAATAAAAGCCTTAAACATTACCAGTTTCCTCTGCATGATCAGTGTCTCCCTCCTTCTACGGCATGGTGCCACGCACGCTTGCCGGTCCGAGAACTGCTGAGATCCTACCGGTGAGTGGTGGGAGATCAGAGGGGCCACACACTAAGGCGGTGCCAAAACATCTTTTTTTTTTTTGCCTCCACCTTCAGATTGGACCTTTTTTTTATCCGCCACAGATCTCTCTGAAGAACTCACAGCATTGACGGCTTCAGCAACGCTGTGCCACTCCGTGGATTTTCTCTTGTTTGCTTTGCACACCCACAAGTACCTCAGTTTCTGCTTTGGTGAAATTGCACTTACTTGATCTGCGGTCGCCATCGTTAATGGTGGAGTGCTGCAACAGCTGGCTTATGTATATGCATGAGATCCACAAGGCACTTTGCATTGACTATTTATGGCAGTAAATGGACGTGGTGAGGGCGGGATGTGATCCAGAAACACCTGAGAACCTTTCTCGTTAGTCTTTGATTTATAAAGCGGAGAAT